CGTGCGTTCGGACAACTAGACCCCAGTATTTCCAGACAAATGCTCAATGCGTATGTTCGTCCCCATGTCGAATACGCAAGCCAAGCCTGGAACCCATGGCTGAGGCACGACTTTGCTGCACTGGACCAACCTCAACGTCGGGCTTCCAAATATGTCATTGGAATGCGCCACTTTCAATAAAAGCAGATGGTGAAACGTTTGGGATTATTCAGCGGGCGGTATAGCCGACTACGAGACGACTTGATTATATCGTATTTGATTTCACACAATTCAAATTCTGTGTGCCACTTTTTACTGCCAATCAGCGGTAATACCAAACTTATAGCCCACTCCTTGGAATTAGCGGGACAGTACAGCCGTCTGGAGTACCGTAGGAAATCTTTTCCATTTGCGTGTTTCAATCATGAAAGGCTCTTCTCGAATCAGTTGTTCCTGCACCTACGCTAGACATATTTGAAAGTCGTCTGAATGACACGCTGCGCCACTTACATTTTGTTACTTGACTCTACTCTTCTTTCTACACCAGCGAAATACCTTGGATTTTTTCTCCTACTGAAACTAGGTCAACACTGAGATTACACCTCCCCGCTTTACATACGATAAGTCCATTCTTTTCACACTAGAACTACTAACGGCATCTTCTTCATTAACCTTATTCGCTAATCCCCCAGAGCACCCAGCAGAAATTGTAAAAAAGTGTTTCTTAACCGTTATTCCTTGTTCAAGTGGCCGCCAAAGCGTGAAGATTTGGTCAATCTTGCTTTAAAAGCTAAGAAGCTATCCATAATTCGTTGCATAAGGATTTCAGAAAAGCCTTTAATCCTGCCTCTGAGGTATTATACCTGATTGATAGGTAGCAATTCCCTTTGCCACCACACTCTCTGTGCTGCTTTACCTGGAGTTACTCTTCTATTTCCTGTGCACACACTCATTCCAACCAACCGGACCAGCGCCACTTATTCCTCTATACATCTTAGCTTTATCTTGTATGCATCATAGTGTTGCTTAAATTTACTTGAAAGCTTTGGCAGTACGAGAAGCTTCTTTATTTGTCGCTCCCAATGTTAATCAAAAGTTTGTAATCAAGTTGCCCAGCTCGGCGAAAACCATAAGGACTGACAATATTGTTCTTCCAGTTTATCACCTTAACAACTTCAATGCCGAAACCCGTGCTTACAGTTGTACCACTCCTGAGCCTTCCAGGATTAATTTTGATCTCAGTTGCAAAACAAAGCTGAGGACTACAAAACGACCCTGCCCTTATCTCAGCACGCTGATGTATAAGGAAAAGCTACGGGGCAATTTACATTGGTCCTTCGATGAACACCTCTGTAAAGCCAGCGCTTTGGCAGCGCTCCGATACGTTTCGTCGCTTTCCGTAATCGAAGCAGTACACAAAATTTTTCTTATTAAAGCGCCAGGACGCACAATTAGGACCTCTACTTACTGAATCCACTAATCTGCGCGTGAATGCAGGGTGTGAGACAGCTGCCTGTCCACGTAAACTGACCTTGGCTGCGAAATAGACAACATGATCCCCGACTAGAGTTTACGAGTGAAACAGTCGTCAACCACAAGTTTACCTAAAATCATAGTCGCGCGTGGCCGGCCTGCTGTGGCTAAAAAAGCTTAGTAAAAGCGTAACAAAATGGTGAAAGTCGGACTTTTATGCTCCTACTGCTCCAAGTAGTTGCATTACAAGAGTGAGAAGGTGATTGCAAGTGAAAACTGGCTACACAACAGCAGACCAAACTCTGTCTGGATCTGCGGTAAGTATGCGGTCATCCTATTAGTTAAGCCGGTAATTGTACTGCTCAAAAGGTGTAGAAGGTTGGTAGAAACGGTTGTGCAAATGTTGAACATGAACTCACCATACAGGTACACCAAACTTTGATGGTAAACTTTACGTGAGACGTTAAGTAGGCGTACAGCAGTCTCGGGAAGATAGATGACACGAAAATTCTAAACGCATTCCGTAGGAGGTCACAGTGCTGACTGGCTCTTCTCGATGATTTTTCGGTTTGTTTTCAGCAACCAGAGTAGCCCGGAATAATTACTCCGAGAGCGTTTACTGTGCTGTGTGTTGCAACTGCTGTTCGCCAGGTCACTATTCGTGGGCAAGCCGATGGCATATACTCAAAAGGTTGCGTTTTGTCAAGTGCAATAAGAGCAGGCACTCAGATGTTCATGTGTAAGTCGAATCGAGATGTCTCCACAGTGTCCTTTACTTGTTCGCTGTTTTGACGTAAGTTGACTGCAGCACAGTAAAAGGATTGTTAGTGAAGACTGAGAAAAAGGTGACCCCTATACCGATCCCTGGGCACACCCCACTGGACATCCTTCGGGCCGAAAAATGAGTTGCGGACTCAGTCATCCAGCTGACGTCGGATGAGAAAGTTACTTATTTAACCCAGGAATGGGTCATCGATTCCATAGCTCCGAAGCTTTAAAGGAGCAAGTAGTAGTTCAGGCGGTAGAACGCTTTTGGAAAGTCCGGGTAGATGACGTCGATTCCTCATTCGACACCGACTGATTCCGTCTAGTTTTCTCAAGCTACAGTGAAGTTGCAGTGCGAGATTGATTTCGGCCAAATCCGTGCTGCTGTGACACTATGATGTTGTCGCTCTCAAGGTTTGCCACGAGCACATATGCGACAATGCCTTCCGAAACTTTGGGAAGCAACGATAAGTAAGCAAATGGACAATATTTCGAGTACTTCTCATGATTTTCACCTTTGTGAATAGGTGTGGCTACTCTATGCTTCCATTTTGCGGGAATATGCATTTCCTCAAGGCATTGGTAAAGGAACCGAGCTGTTGCTTGGTGATGTTTATGGCGACGGTCTTGAATGCATCAGGTGGCATTTCTTCCATATCGAGAGAACTGTACAATTGTAAAGAAATATGATTTCTCATCACCTTTGTTGCATTGTAGCATAGGTGGCTTAAGTCTAAGAACAATGTTAGCTATACAGAAGATGGATGAGTTGACGATTCACTATGGAAAGTGCGGATGAAGTGTTGCCGAAGCAAGTTGGCCGCCTCTTTTGTGACTGGTGCTAGACCTTTAATTGCACACAATCCTGGGAATCCGCACTGCACCCCACTGATAATGTCGGCTTGCCTATGGAGCGTTTTAGGATTGGAGGTGACTTGCGACGCCAAATGTTGTTCTTGCTTGAATTTTTCCTTGTACATCAAGTTGGCGCAATGGTTTTATCGAGTTTTGTAGTCGTTCTAGGCTTACACACTAGGACAGGCAATATAAACTCTCCAAGCGTAATCCCTTAAGGTAATACATTTTTGAATCCGTCTCATCAGGAGGCACTACGTTTACTTTGGGCGAAAGACTTTCGTTTCCGACGCATTTGCAAGTAGTCCAGTGAACTGGATGAAAATCCCCTCCAGGAGACATTGAAACGCTATTCGGTTAGAAAAAAACTAGTTGTTTTCCTGAACGAGGACAGACAGGATGTCGTTATTGATTAATGACGTGGGTTTTCTCCTTGTTTCCGCCGAGGTATTCCGCGTAGCAGAAGTAATGGATAAGCAGCTTCGCATGATCGCTACACCCGAGCAATGTATCTACGGTCACGTTGTCGACCATCCTTTTTTCGTTGTTAAGCACAACGTCTAAATCATAAGGTCCGGCACCCGGTAGGAATCGCGTGGGAGAGTTGGCATGGTTGTATGGCGGAAAGAAACTGGGACTTTGCTAGTGGGGAAGCTGAAGTCCCGAACCAGAAGGATGTGACTGTATAGCCGCGCCAGGATTCCCGTCATAGTTGACACTAGACGGTGATCCGTCTCTAAGACGGATATTGGAACGCGGTAAACTATTGTTATTAAGCAATTATCACCATGTTTCAAGTACGAACGACACCAAAGCTAATCGACAACTTGTGTATCTGAGTCTTTGCTTATATCGATGTGCAGGTCGGACTGGTAATACAACGGCATTTTGCCTCTTCTGCTGGGTTGACCGGATCGCAGGAGATTCATACCAAGTAGAGCTATCTCAGCACCGGTGATCTCGGTATTCAGCCATGTTTCGGGTGCCATGACTTTGCCAAAATTCTTTGAAACCAGATGTGTTTGCAGCCCAATTAGCGTACTGAGAAGACCTTGTGTGCTGGTTTACAAGCAGTTCACAAAGGTTAGAGCGCGTTTATGTAGATGCAGATTCCAGCTGAGAGGTTTTGCTGACACTGGTGGGGCTGTCCACCAACATTCTTTGTTGAACCGCTGACACAGATCCGTGGGCCACTCCAGTTTGTGGTGTGTGCTCAGTACCAGTTTAGATCAATTTAGCTGTCGACGTATTTTAACTGGGACCCAGATCGGAGGCGCTTACTGATGGTTCCACCACGAACCTGGCTTGTTCAGTCTTATCTTATCAATTTGTGGCCAGGTGTCCATCGCCCTAATGCAAATGTTGGATTACGGCTTTCGCGAATTGTTGCCACACCTCGAACCACTTTTCCGTCATTGGTTTGGATTGCAGTGTTACTAATATTACTCGAGGAGCACACAATTTGCAGGTGGGTGATAAGTGTACTCTTGCGGGGGAATTGGTGATTACCAACGAGGGAGAAAGAGCACTTCACAGGGTATGCGCCATCCACTGCGGTCTTGTGCTTAAGCCTCAAACTTGTTTGAAGTCTGAAGCTCAGTGATACCATGGAGACGGATCGATTTGAGTCCTTTGGTTTTCAGTAGTTATCCGGGTTTTGTTTTGTTCTTTGACGTTCGATCTAAGGCACATCTGTTAAAACGTGAACAGTGCATTGGGTATTATGGAGACGGATAGCTGGTTGACAGGAGAACGGCTTCGGTATAATCCCTTGAGTGAAGGGTCTCTTGGAGTAGTCACTGTTCACCGTGATGTTTGGGTGACTATCGACATGCATCTTGATGGTGTAACGCAACACTTTTCTAGTCCAAATGCTCATGTGGCAACACGTAGTTTTAATTATACTGTTATTTCTACTTGAATTACAGTCAGTGCCAACGTCGACTCCCACCGCACGAACTGGAAGTGACCAGTATTCAAAGAAATATGGTGGTAATATCGCAAAAGATTTACTTTCCGGACGACTCACGTCTAGTAAGTTACAACGGAGCATTTTTATGTGTATTGATGAGCTAGTTCCTCGCAATGGTTTCGAGTGGGAGACGATGTGATAAGGTCGCTCATTGCTGCATTTAATCCACCGAACGCAGTGGAAAGATGGAGTACTATCGATTAATTAATCTAAAACATTAACTTGGAACAGCCCTACTGGACCACCAGCACCAATCACGATGGACAAATAGCACGCTGTATTGTATGAAGAATAACATGAAGGAGAGCAAAGGAGTACCTAGTGTGAAAGCTATACGTATTGAAGCAAAATCTATGCTCCAAATGCCTACACTAGTCCACGGTTATACTTACTATGGGTGCTTCAGATACAGCTTCCTTGCGATTTTAATTGCCCCATGTCAAAATTAACCTGACCTCACATCCCAAACTTGATTACGTCAGTCTGAACAAACATCAGGCAACAATAACGTGCAAATGGTGCTGGTAGTGCGTCACTTAATCAAAGTTTGAATTCAGGCACAAGTTGGATAGCTTCTACATCCGCCAGATTGATCAAGACGACCGAATCGGTCTTCAGTGACTTTAGACTTTGCTGCCAAGTCAATTTCTGCAACGCGTGAGTCTTGGGTATCCTACAGCTGGCAACTAATGCTAGGTTGTCTTCAGTGAGCCCTGAGGGGGCATAAGTAGCAAGTGCCTAGGCTAGAGCCATTCTTTCCTTGTTATTTCTTTCGGTAGTGAACCGGCCAGAGTACCAACGCCTACGCTAGTTTGCACATCTAATCACTAAGACACGTTGGTGCGACTGGCATGCTTCAGGCTTACAGACAGAGGGGACTACTATTTGATGTTTTGATGGAGAGCGGTGTGCACTGTAGTCTTCCATGCACAGACCTTGATATCACTTGAGATCCCATTCCGTCATCATAGGCTTAGCAGAATTAAAGTTTTGGTTCTAGCTTTCGTACAACGAATAGCTACCATGATCACTGCTAATGCAGCTGCATGTTCGGCAACATAATGTATCTGGTCCATAAGACGCAAGAGAATATGAAGTGACTGGTGATCCATCCCTCTTCTTTTGCGCTTCGAATTCGCGAAATCTACGCAAGTTGATGGGACCATCCCAGACAGTTAATCATAAGCTAACATTGCTTCACCGCAATTTTGAGACCATAAGAAGTGGTCGTCTGTGTAAGCTAGACCAGGCTGTTTACACTGGGACCAGGTCATAGTACGACGTCATTAGAATCTGAAAATGAGCACTCAAGGTGGAATCCATCAAAAAGTAAAACGCAAAAATGGGACAATCTTGAAAATCCATTCTCGTTGCTGGAGGGAAAAGCGACAAGTTATCCTAGACTGCAACACGACCTGAAGTATCTGAATGCATTTTCATTGGAGTATCCGTACGGATATCTATATCAAACAAGACAGCGCTCTAAAACTCTGGGTACTCTACTATAATCGACCATCGGTTGGTGCGTCGCTACTGTATCCCCAGTTGCAGTGTGAAAGCATCTCCTACCCCCCGCCCGGTATTACCAAGTGACTGCTTTTCTTTCATTCGGGAATATTTTTCCTTCCTAAAGGTGTAGATAAGAATGCAGACGGGTCACTTTCTCACTACCAGCGATCAACTGCGAATCACGTGGTTTCTAAGAAATTTGCTACGTCCACTCTTGAATGCTGTCCCAATATGTGTCCGATTCCTCTCGCATCTTCATGATTGACCTGCATTTGGTCAATTATTCAAATACCCTATTCGAGAAAGAATCGTAAGGCTACGCATCTTTGTGCATTTTGAATAGCCCAAATAACCTCGGGATCAAGATACCAACCGGATAAATTCCGTCGAAAGTCATCGAGTCAATGAGATTTTTCAGTTTCACATATCTTAGGCACTTAGAAATCGATTTTCAGTTGGCGTTTTGCTTTTCATGTACTTTGAGGGGTCTTAAACATTGCAACGAGTTTACATAGTCATGCAGTTTTATTCCCTAAAAACAATCACTTCACTCTCGCCTGGTCTTGATAGTATGATATGTTCATTTTTGCTCAAGGTTTTAACGCTCTCTAGGCGCTCACACTTCAGCAACTTCCCAGCCGTTGGTGCGCGAGTCAGATGCTTGTAGCAACACTGGACAAGAGTTACCTTGAATTTTTCCACCTAGTTACCAGTCGAACAAACTGAGCGCATAGATTTTCAAAATGTACTTCTAACTAAAGCTGTTTGGGTCTTGACTTTGATCAACAAATTTTCGAACCTTATGCTAATGCCTCTAGTTAGTCCATCTAGTCAAGTCAAGTCTAGTCAAGAAAGTGCTTTATGCAACCAGAACGGTTGAATATTCAGCCTTAACACGCACGCTTTCAACAATACAGCATGAACTTCAACGATGTGGAACAATAATTGGAAAGCATAATGCCAAGTTGCAGATTAATTTGGAAGCTTCACACCGAACTTCACAGGATTAATTTGGCATTCAGTCTTGCCTGTTTGTTGTAGTATCGTTCCGTTCAACAAAGGAGTCCCAAGCTCACCTCTCTTGGTTGGTCATTTGATCAAACAACACCGATGCACTGCAACTGCCCCATTCCAGACTGAATGGCCTACGTCCACCTGTCTGTCTCGTATAAAGTTTGACTTTTTAATGTCGCCTCAGTGATGGTGATGCGGTTTCTTCAAAGAAAATTCCAATGGCGCATTGATTAGGCACCCCGGTTGACGCATGTCTGCAAAGACCAGACCGTGGTGTTTTCTTCTAAAAGCTACGCACAAAATTAACATCCCTGTTAAATTCCGAAGGAACCTGCACGACAGGTACACAATATGTCTTCATTGTGACCAGATAGAGGCACTATGGAGGCACTATCACTAGGCACAAAATATTGTTGGCCAAAGTCAACCCCAAATAGTCTTATTTATAAGTGGCTTTTGAAAACTTATCCACTCATTTTGCTAAATGTGGAAGTGTTCAAGACTACTCTTGTCCAGTCTTGCTACTTGCGCACCAACGGCCAAAGATCTGCTGACGCCTGATCATCCAGTAAAACTTGAAGCCCTAAGGAAAAACGAATATATCATACACAGTTCCACCAAACTATGCCTCTGTTTCAGCGTAAGATAGATTGTTTACTTGTCATATGGAGTTGTTTGTTGATAAGCAGTATCCAAGGTGTGTTGGGCTAGCATTTCAATCGGCTGATCTGTACAACCATTGGCTATATTGGCTCAGTATGCAAAAGATAAATTGGGGATAATCGATCATGGAGCATTTATCGTAACCATAAGGAGTATTGCTTTCTACCTCTTCAAAATGATCATAGCTCATACGGTTTATCTTCGCCTTTGGATTTAAATATTGTCCTTCTTATAAGACTATGAATTTGCATTCGTTCTACTGTAACCTTTGTTACCGGTGACCACCCTGTTTTCCAGATATTTGATGTTACTTCTGGCACAAAAGCAGGCGATCTATGCAAGGATATCTCTAATTATTTGGAGTTGAAAAATCCCACTGGATTTTCCTTGTACTTGAAATTAGACGACAATCTGTATTGTATTCCAAAGGAGGCATATTTCTTCGACTTCATTCGAGCTGCCACAGACTGGGCGAAAGAGCAACGCAGCACTAGCGAGTGTAAGTCGCATCACTTTTCCGCAAACGTGGGGTCAATCATTACAGCTTGTATTGGCATGTACAGGTCCCTAATAACCCATGTTTCACCACCGTAGGGAAAACGCGATTCGATGAATAAATTCAGTGAAATAAACTTTTATTGTTGAAACGAACAGTCTCAGCAGCCTAAGGATATCGAAAGACTGCCTAGCTAGTAGAGAAAAATGAAAACAGTTAGACGTCGCAGACAGCGTTTGGAACCAGTAGTCAGAAGACCTCCAAAAGCAGTTGGTCTGGCTGACTCAGCCAAACGTGGTCAATAGCCCATCAGGCAGGCTGCTTAATTCGGCTGCGTACAGCGTGGTACTCTAATTTTATAGTACCTTACACACCGTACCGCAATCAAATGGGGCTATCTCCAAGCTACTATAAGCTCACTATGTACATTTGATTTCTACTTCAAAGTTATAGACAGTTGTTTCGAAGCCGTTTTCTTCCGAATCTTGTTTTCGAGGGCGGGATTACTTTGAACAATTGATGTCGTGTGTCAAAAGCAGAAGCGCAACTTATTAAGGTAAACGAATGTACGGGGTAGTGTGTCCCAATGTACCAACGTCTCAGGGAATCAGCGCGCAAACACAGGGTAAGGCATGCAGTCAGAATTAAGAACATGTATTCATCAATGGCTACTATGTGAATGAATGTGAATGAATGAGGCATAACGAATCAACTCTGCAACGACAATTCCAATAAGCATGGGAGAGCGTAATGAGGCCAACAGGACGGCTGCATTGGAATGCCTGCGCTGACATCTCCTTAATTCATACAAATGTTTCCATAGTTGTACTGTTACTTCTTTCGATTTTACTGCTACGATGGTTTGGTGATAGATTTCAGATAAGTTTAGTTTCTTGGTAGATCAATGACCTTGACATTGTCAAAAGTTGCTCGCAGACCTCATAATTGCTTTGGGCTGACAATATGATATCTCTTTTGGTACTTACCCTCAGTTTTAAAATCTACGCTGCTTAGCTAAGTAGTTTTGATACCAAGTACACCTAAGTACTGATGTTTGTTTATAGCGTAGTATGGACGTCTGGTAAATACAAAACAGCTTTGGGCCAAGGGAGAAGATCGCGAGTGCTCTTAACTAAATACTAGTCTCATGAACGCTTTGCTTTTAGCAAGAAAATGCATTCAGTTCGGTTATCAACTTTTCTACGTCCAAAGGCTGTGGATCGACGTGGTGCCCGGTCAAGACCCCGTGGCGGACCGACTCTTTCACTTCCCTCAGGTATGTGGTAAGGTGACGAAGAGTGAGTTACTTTATCACCAGTATCTGGGTTCTTGTTTTAACATTGTTGCTGAAAAATTACCTGATTTCCATCAAGCTGGATTCTGGTTCAAGTTATAAGAACGATCAAACTGATTACTCTGCACATTTCTTGTGCGTCTACATTTTATATCGGCACTGCTAAATTTTAGAATACAAACGGTTATCCGGATTAGTGGGCACTTTGATTCCCTGAGCAACTAGCGGCAATATTTTGCTAAAGCTCTCCATGGTCTTGTGTAGTGCGTGCTTTTCGTATCAGCCTAGCCCCGCAGCTTTCCTACCATGTCAATTGTGGCCATTTGTTGTGATCCCTAAGTTAACCAGGAAGATCGAAATCGGTGGCTCACAGTGAAATACATCAGAGAACGCATCGAAGATACACAGTGTAACATATCTAATCTTCTGCTTGGACACACGTACGACCATAGGTCACTGCGGCTAGCATTTCTCTATGGGATTTCGTCCGCCGCAGTTGAAACACGTGGAACTGTAGCCAACGTAGGTTGTTACTCTTAGCTCCTGGAAAACCTAGAATGTTGTATGGAGCTCCTAAGCATTCTTTAGACCAACTGAAGCAACAAGGGAGGAAGTTATGCGTCTTATATTCCTTTTTATTACTGTAGCTCTGTAAATAACTGGACATAAGTAAAATCGGATATTCTAAGACTCAACTCCTACTTTTTCTGATGGCATGTAGCAACGTGTTAGGGATGGACAAAAACGAACCCAAATATAGTACAATGTCACCATAACGAACGCCAGTATAAGGAAATATTCAGAACTGCGACATGGTTTTTAGGTCCTTTCCCTTATCCATATTTAATGTGTGTCAAAACTTTTCAATTTAACGAATTTCGTACCTTCAGGGTAACGAATGAAACGCTCGTCTTTCTGCCTATATTCAACTTTATTTTTTCAAAGTATATGTGAAATTTACACTGCTTTATACTATAAATATTTTTTCTTATCACCTTATTTTCTTAAGCAGATGATATGGTAGCCATTTTCATACATGTACGCGATCGGTCGAGCAGGATAGCGATTTGAAAGTAACCAATGCTTATCCCAGTAAATAAGCTTTGCGCATCTTCCAATACTAATAACACGATTGGCTAAGTAGGAGCGCAAGGTTTAACATCAACCGGTGAACTGTATGATTTCATATCTCTGTCTTACCATTTAGTTCATTCACATCTCATCTTGCATTGTTACATCACGGACTCATTCTGCGTCTTTTGTTCCTTCCGCATCGTGTAATGTTGTGTGCCTATTAAGTTTATAACGGCAATACGGATAAAAACGAAGCAACAGCAGTTTTCTTTTAAAGTAAAAATCGCGCAATACTTCTGGAAGTGGATATGGGAAAGAAAGGAGAGATAGTGGAGAAGTGTGGCGTTAGCCCCTCAACCCCAGCTGCTTTACTAAAACAGCAAGGTGAGATAGAGAAGAATGTTGATGCCGATGCCCTTGGCCCACAGTGAAAGAAGATGTGGACAGCAGACTACGAGGAGGTGGATAAAGCAGTTCATACGTGGTTTGTTGACATGCAGGCCAAAACATCCCTATGAATGACGCACTGTTGCGTGAGCATGCGCGATCCTCCGCACGTTCGCTTGGCTTTGCGGAATTGATGGGGAATACTGGTAGGCTTCAGAGGTCTCGGGAAAGATATGGAGCTCCCCATAAGATAAGAAATGATGAAGCTAACGATGCCCCAAAGGAAGTTGCCTCTTCTTGACAGCTGGAGACTCTAACAATTACCTTGAAATATTCCGGGATATGCTTGGAACCGACTGGAATTTCATAATTTCAGAAGGTTTGAATACAAACCGGTTTTGGTAGGGTTTTATCGTGGCAACGTTTCGCCCTTGACGCAAGAGCTTCTTCAGGCCAGGCGAATAGTTACAAAATTAGCTTAGCTTCTTATGGGAAAGTAAGTTGTAGGTTGCAAGACAACGTGAACCCTTGGATAATAGTGTTACAGGTCAATAGGTCGAGTGGCCAGGCTAGGGAAACAACAAGCATCGAGCGTTTCTCATTGATCCACGTCACCGGTCGTTCACATGTGAGGTATTCCTTTCTTGCAGCTGCTGATTCACGCTTCGACCTGAGTTCGTCCGCCGACACCTTTTCTGACTGACCTGGTTAACAAAACCCGTCACGCCTTCGATAACTTCACCCCGTCTGTTCTGTTCACACAGTTATTTGTCTTAGTAATCTCGATCGCCTCAACAATCAACCTTTGGCCTGTTGCTGGTAATCCCCTCCTACGTTTCTCGACATTGTTCCAATCAGTCGCGTGCCCTGCCTCTAGCGCATGTACGACCACCGCTGAACCTTTAAGCAGGACCCAGTATTCAGGCTCATTTCTCGGTGGATGTGAAACGTACTCTTCTGTTCTGCTATTCGCGTGCGTAGCTCTCTCGCTGTTCGACCTATATACACGTGTTCACAGTCTTTGCAATTTATTTTATAAACATAATTTGTCGTCCTGTCTCTTGGACTTGGATCCTTCAAACGCACAAATGCTGAATAGTGTTTGACCCTATCGAAAAACCCATTCTTATTTTCTCCTTGTTTAGTACTCCTCTGATTGCTTCTGAGGTTCCATTTTTATAGGGGACTCCCACTGTCCAAATCCACTCCGTTGGGCGCCGTGGAGGTGGATCTAGAGCTCTCTGCAATTGGTGTTTCACTAACTGCCTCGGATATCCACTGTCTACTAATTTGCTCACCGTCTCCTTACGAGCGGCCTTCCTGTCCTCCTCTGTACACTGAGTCTGGGCTCTGTGAAACAGAGAGGATGCGATAGCGGCATAGACTTGTTTTGGATAACCCGAACTGTAAGGAAGCACTCCGTCCGTATCTGTCGGCTTGCGATATATCGTCATCTTTAGCCGTCCACCGTTCCTGTAAACTAGGCAATCGAGGAATGGCAGTGTGCCACTGCAAGATTCTAGTTCCATAGTAAAGATTATATTTCCATTAACGGAGTTCAGATGATTTAGAAACGCATCCTTCATATCTCGCTTTATAATCACAAAGGTACCATACACGTAGCGCCACCAAATCTTTGGCGAACTACTGGAGTTTGTCAACGCTCTTCTCTCAAAGTCTTCCATATTCAGAATTGCCAATACGGGGAAGTTTGCTGACCCCCATGGCAAGTCCCTGTTCCTGAGAGTCCAGTCTCGACTTGAAAGTAAAATATGACATATTAAGGCATACTTTAATTCCATCGATTATCTGATCTACCGTGAGTTTCGTTCGCTGCTCCAGGCTAGTGTCCTCAGTAAGACAGCGCTGTGCTATACCCAATGCATCATCATTGAGCACGTTAGTGAATAGGGAGCTAACGTCGAAACTAACCGTTATTTCGTCTGCCGCGATGGCCAGACCTGCTACCTTTCGCGCGAACTCATAAGAGTTCCGTACGAACGCATTTGTTCTCTGTTAGAGGTTACAAAAACCTGCTAAATATCGGACTAGTTCGTGCGTTGGAGAACCGATACCATCTACAATGGACCGAACGGGAACTTCGGGCTTATGTATTTTTGGTAGCCCATAGACCCTAGGTGGAATCGTTGATTTCGGATATACGCCCGGCCCTAGGTTGTCCTTCACACTTCTCAGGTAGTTTCCTACCACAGTTTTACCCTTATTCATTATGGACGATACGGATTGTTTTTCAACTGCTTCGTAGGGCCCTGCTGCTAAATGCTGTTCCACTTTTTCCACATAATTCGATTTGTTCATTATCACTACGGTCTTGCCTTCTTCGGCTTTCGTGATGATGATGATGGTGGGGTCTTCTCTTAAGGCCTTTAATGCGGTACGCTCCGCTGGTGTAAGATTTGGCTCCCCAGGCTTCTGAAATCTGATGATATCTACCGCCTGTGCACGAATATTCTCAGCTGTTGATACTGGTAGTTTCATCATCACGGTCTCAACGCTAGTAATAATTTCCTCTGCAGTTAGTTTAGACTTATTTACAGAAAAGTTCAAACCCATTTTTAGTAATATACGTTCCGTCTCAATCAACAACCTATGTGACATATTAACTACATTGCAATGGTTACTGCTACATTCAGACCTATCTACGAGACTAGTGGTCCTGCTATGCATAGACATCAAATGATTTAACTACCTTGAAAGAATATTCGTCGGCGTACATCTATAATGCAGATGAGATGGTATTATTCCATAAACTAATGCTGTACAAAACCTTTGAGTTCAAAGGAACAAAGTTCAGGGGGAGAAAAGTTCCAAAGAACGGATAAGTGTTCTTTTGTGCACAGACTCCACGGCTACGAAAGAACTGATGCTTTTCATAATTGTGAAGTTTTGGAAGCCGAAGTGCTTCATGAGCGTGCGAAATCTGTCCTGTGAATACAGGCACAACACCAAATCACGGATGACATCTATGATATTCGAGGCGGTTTTTGCGTCTGGTATGTCTGATGATGGCCGAAAAGAGAATTCTTCTCATCATTGACAATTGTTCATGTCATAATTGTGTGCCTCGCCATTTGGAGCATGTGAAATTTTTATCCATGCGTTCAAACACTTCCTCCATTCTGTACCTGCTGGATCAGGGGATAATTCACGCAGTAAAGCGGCATTACCGAGCTCGTGTGGTCCGGCGTATGCTGTGCTATATTGCCTCGGAGAGAAATATTACTGTGAACAAAGTGGAAGAAATGCAGATGTTCCATGCTGCGTAGAGAGCACAGAAATAAGAAATCTTCACAAATTCCTTTAGAAAAACTTTGGTGCTTCATGTAGAAGACACCATCACAAAAGATGAAGTGTTAGATGAGGCAGAAACAAAGAAGTGGAAGCGTCTGTGCGAACAGTTGAATGTGCCAACTAGCGCGCAGATTTCTGAGTAGATCAATGGGGACTCGGAGGTGAAAGTGCAAAAAGAAAGCACTGACGTTAAAATTTTGTCCGACATTATGAGTGATAGAAACCCTTTTGATGGTGAGCTGGAAGAGGAAGAAGTGCCTCAAAGTGATCGGCAGTTCGACTCGTGCAGGCAACCACGTGGCACATAGTCTTCATGATTTTCTTCTGTCACGAAGTGATGTGCAAGAATCTGTGTTAAATTCATGTGCGGTGGTTGGTGACTATCTTGAACGCTCTTTTGTATCTGTTGGTGTTCAAAATCACAGACTTTTTCCTAAAATAAAGTCCGGAACATCAGGTACAATGCAAAAAATTTTATATGATGAAAAATTGTGGAAACACCTCTTGAAACTGCGAAACATCATTTCTTTTCATATATATATATATATATATATATATATATATATAGGCGAATCTTCGTCTCATCTAGTAAATATTAAGCTTTTTAGTCTTTAACTTCATGCTGAAGTAATGTAGATCCTATGGTGGATATAGCAACATTCAAGTACTTGACAGATTACTTTTCTCGGTATAACAAAATTTCCCTATAACAAATTAATTTCGGTGGTCCCCAAAATTTCGTTATACTGGTCTTTTTCTGTAATATATTATTGGCCAATATTTGCCAGGAGCCTACCAATATGCTCAGCTTGGATAACGAAGTTGGCCGAGAGACGAAGTCAACAGCAAGACTTAACATAACAACTTTCAAACGAATGATAACATAAATCTTATTTCATCTTGCAGGAATTGCCTAGATTCGTATCTGGGTACCACAAACTGTCACTGGAAATGTCCATAGAACTCGCAACACTGGTCTGCATTGTGCACAACCGATCGGAGTTAGAGTCAACGTACGTCTGTGGCTCTTGTCATTTAATGTTCGATTCCCATCAAACTTTAGATTTTTACTGGACTCTGCGGTCCCAGCAAGCTTACGTTCCTCTATGTCGGACAATCAGTGGTTAAATGTGAGTGCATCCTTTCCGTTCGTACATATAAGTTTAGCTTATGAAAAATTACACTACCACTTTATCGCCCCTCCGGAGTTACACTTAAAGTGTTTCGTCTAATTTGTTTCTTTTTCAGCCAAGGTCTAGCTGATCAACCATGTTGCGGTTCTGGAAAGACATTTTCATTCTTTTTATTTGTTCCGTATTTTTGTATCCCTGTCAGTTCGCTAGATGGTCTATCCGCAAACCGGCATCAGCAGCAGTACCCTAAAAACCCATGAACTGCAAGCACAACGAAATCACGACGCTCTCTGAACAGTGTATTCTGAATAACGGCCAGCCTATTTACAGTCCGTATCACTCTAAGCCATCGAATGGCAACCGTTCATACAAATCAGTTGAAAACTGGGTTACGAGAGCACGTGAGAACGTAAAACTACTAAAACAGTACTTCCGTTTTACTTGCAATGCAAATGAAAGCGATTTCCCCGAACCATGTGGTAAATCACCACAACTCTAAATCACATGGACTTGACAATAATTGGGTTTGGACGTTGAATAATACTAGCGGGCGGCTGAAGCAACAACCAACCACCTTTGACTTGGGTTGGATGTCGTGGTAACATAGCTCAAGAACAGGCGTTTAAACGTGCATGGTGGGATAGCACCAGTTAAGATGACAACGTACTGTTGATGTTGAAAATGAGTGTTGGATCAGTAAGACGTTGCATGGGTTGTAAGTGAAACGACTGAATACAACAAGCGTGTCAAAAGGCTAACATGGATTAGTTGATGCGGTAACCGTAGATGGTAGGAGACTGGGGTTTATGAATATGTAATGGATTTGAGCTGACCTGGTCACGTTACCTTAGCCGGAAGTTACGCGTAACCTGAGCACGGGCCCTAGTCACGCACTTATTCGGGGAAGGCGCTCAAGCCCCGAAAACAGACAACGATATGCACACAACCGGGGGACTAGACGCGAGAGACTTAGACGCACACGCAGCAACCGGCTAAAACGACGCCCATGCAGCAACCGGCTAACATGGGGCACATGCAGCAACCGGCTCAAACGACGCACACGATCACGTGAGCACGAGAGTCCCAACCACTCACAAGAAGAGACACTACAAGACGAAGCGGACCTCTGAGAGTTCCTTTACGACTCACAAAGGCCGAATCGCAATTGGCACAATGGTTCATGTTGTGGGTGAAAGGAATCGCCACATAGGGCGTGGGGTTAAGGGAAGAACATTGTTCACTTTAGCCTTGTTGCGCCCCGTTTCCGACTGGATGGATCCTGCCCCGTTGTGTGCAGGAATTGAACTCTGCGTGGCTTAGCCTACGCACTGGCGAGTGTGGCGCAAATTTGCGGGGTTACTTGACTTTCTCGCAACTGAGTAACCTATCGTTCATGCAGTGGCCATCAGAAGCTGTTTGGTTAAACGTCGAATACTGCAACCAAACACTGTAACCATGTATAGATTGCCAAATGTTTCTTACATGTGGAAAAGTTTGTAATCCCCCAAGCCCCTGGTTGCAAATTTATACCGCTATATGTTCAGAATCTTGCTCAGTTTGAGCCTACAACAGAGACTGAGTATACTGGTATATTTGTAGAGAGGGTGGCCGGCTCACGCTAACAAACTACTGGCGATAATCGTTCCCAATGATGAAAAAGAAGGCACGGAAGTGAATGGACGAACGTGTAGTGTGGTACACGCTGTTGCCGTGTATTAGCTAAAAAATACTACACCGAACGACGCATAAAGCTAGAGAAGGATGTGAGGAACCGTGCGATGGAGCGGTATGTTGAATCCAATCATGGCACCGTATATGTATTTCGCGTGTGTGCTGGCTCAGACAAACAAATGCGACATACAAATCAGCATTCTGTACATAAGTAAGTGTAAAATAAGAAAGTAATTTTACTTGATATTTTACACAACATGGGCAAGCCGGGGGAATCTCCAGACTACTACATATCCGATTGCCTGGTCGTCTCGGAATATTCATAATTTATCACACATCCGTTTACCTTGTTATCTTCTGGAATTCCATGGTCACAGCTTCGGAGTTTCCTTCGTTACATTCTACGCGTCCGACAGCGTGTTCCACTGATATAGCATTCAGCATCAGGCAGATTTATTCAAACTGGGACTATACCTCTATTCATGCGGTTCATGGGGAGCGGTTCGACATAGTGAACTCAAGGCAATTGTGCTGGAGAATGCGAGTACTTCGGCGAATTTCCATAAACCTCCGTCCTCTTTATTTTTGGCTAGGATAGAGAAGAACTATTTACTAGCAACGGTGACTGCATCATTAGGGATCCGCAACACTGGCTTGTAGACTTACAAATATTACCTGAGTCCAAAAGTTTTGCATGAGCTTGACGTTGGTATGGTAGCTTCTCCGGAGCACAGTGATGTCCACGAATCCACCAATGCAATCAAAGAAAAGAAGTAATCAGCATACATTTTTACTTTATTAAAACGACAGCTTTATTGCAGCAACGTTCATTGGTATTAATGATGTATTGTACGGTAAAATTGGTAAAATAAAGGTCGAAAGTGATATCACAAAAACTAAAGGTGGTACAAAGAGACTAACGGGATATGTGAAGTTAGCGCGTCAAATATGTCATTAAATAACTCTCACATTGTTTGTGAAAAGTTAACTTTTGTGGGTCAGTGTTATAGGCGGGAGTATTCCGTACTCCTCCGTACGATACCCTTAAATTTTAGTAGTGATTTAACGGTGTATTTATCCGCAGCTTCACTGGCCTCCGGTTTATTTGGTAGTTGGCCATATCCGACAAACGATCGGTTCATACAAGGAAAACAAGTTCGTTCTACCCATCTCGTATTTCCAACGGTTCCACCTTTACTCATTTCCGTCGTATTCGACACCATACTTTATTTGGAAAAACCAAGCGCCGTTTTGCCCCTAGAGCTGCTTATTATAGTTGACTGTTAAAATGGAATACATGCGAACATGGAACCACTCATTACCAGTGTGGCGCGATTTGGCCAGGCTATTTGGCATGGCAACCCAGTACTTGCGTAATGAGCCTGTGCTTGTCGCAAGAGGTAACACCTAAGAGGTGTGCGAGCAGAGAAATAGGGGAACAGTCAGCTCGTCGGGATCCAACGTGTATTGACAAAAGATACAAGGCATAGAGGACAGGTAAGCAAAGGCATTCAGTAGTGTATAGCATGACTCAAGAGGAGAGCAAGTGCTCGGTATGTACCATCAGTTAAACAAATGGATGACCGGAATATATAAGGAAAAAATGCCCATGTCTCAAAATACTGAAAGCTTACATGCTTCATGTTGACTGCAAGTCCTTACACATGGACATGGCTAATGTTTATGCTTCATCACATTTCACTTGATTTTGTAGGTGCATCAAACGCTAGTGGTCTTAGCACTTTGCTAACATTCCGCTTCCAGCTTCTTTCTTCAACATTTTCCGCACGACCAATATGATCCCTAGTGGTGGAACAAATGGTTTGGGAACAAATGCTTAATGAACTAGGCGTCCACAGTGCGAGTCACCGATGCCCTACTTGATGGTTAAACAAATTTTTGTAAACAACGCAACCCAGTGATCGAGGTGAATACTACCATGTCACACATTCATGCAACAAGCGATTGTGGTTACCTTGTCAACAAGATTTCAGTTTAGCCCTGGTCCTCAGGAATCTAAAGTGGCGAACTGGTGTCTGCCACCTTTCTCTCGTAAATGTGTTCGCAACTTGGTAGGTTAGATTGAGGTTTCAGTGTTCCTACCGAAAACAGCGGGATATCACTGATATGCACATGCCTTGTAAGTGCACGGTGGTTCTATGATTAACGCAACATATTGCTTTGCCTATCATTGCGACCGTTGACATCGAAGCATCCTACATCCAGCTGGTACTGAGACATCAATTACAAGCTAGTGCACCAATTGTTTGCATATCCAGCCCTGAGTTAAAATTACTTTCGAGTTGTCTTAGTGTTTTAATGCACGTTGTAATTTTTTTTAGGAAATTAACCGGCGTCTGCAAAGGATGCGTAACGTGACGATAGACGAAGCTCGGCTGAAATTTCTGAAGTATCTTCGTCGCCTTCCAATTTTCGGATCCACCATTTTCGAAATTACGGTATGTACCGACTTCATGGTTATTTCTTGTACCGAGGGTGAAAAAGATACTGCGACAAAACGAAATCACCGGCCAGTCAACGTGTGTGTTGCATAAATCGAGAATGTAGGGGAAGGGCGAGGATGTTTTTTAATTTTCCACTAAACTCAGAAGTGCACATTGGGTGCCTAACCGTGGGTTTTCTCGCCTACTCCACACTTTGTGTGCCCATAGCAGGCTGGTTGACACAAGAATTACAATTTGTCGTGCAGGTTGATTACACTGTGAGACAGCCTAATCATGACTTCTTTTCCCAGCCCTCTGGAACGTATTACTTCTTCTTGCTCGAAAACCATACTATTTCGTGCATAGATTGAATAATGAGCTTTAGAACGATTGATAGCTATAACATTAAACAGTAACAGTAGGGCTCTTAACTATCAGTGAAGTCGTCTTACTTCTTAGGCTATTACCTTATGACCGCCACCTAGACACCTCTACTAGTCCGCCGTATTTTTTCTCCGAAAGCGGATGGTGACAGAAGTTACTACCTCAAGTGGTTATTCTCTACACTGAATGAAAATTGGTCTCAAATAACACCAATGGATCCGCCTTAGTGTCATTAGTAGTGTCGTGCTCCTGACACTGCAGGTTTCTGATTACTACCAACTTTGCAAAAAATTATACCAATATATCCCGGATTCAGCTGGGAACGCTTAACTGCATCCAGTGGAATCGATGTAACATCAACAAGGTTTTGCGTTATTTAAGCTATCTGTTGGGTGCACGCAAAATATATAGTTTTTAGTATCAAATGGCTCCAAGAATTTGGATGCCCCTGCCTGCTTAGGGGTTTGACTTAGAAAGCTGTCAGTGCGACGTCACAAAATTTAGTACTTACCTTCCCATCAGCTCAACGCATCTTGTTGACATTGAATAGTCAGGTACTTTCCTCTTTAGGACATCGTAGCCAGTCATTTTAGGGGGAAGATACCATATCACGAGCGCGGCTGTGAACAGCCCGGTTCATTCCTCAGTAGGGTTTTTATTGTTATGGCATTGAAATAAACCCCCCGTGGAGCCCAGTTCGATGGGACCCTGGATAAATGGTGTTACTTATTCACCCAATAAATAACTCCTTGTCTTTGTGTCTATTTCCATGGGCACAGCAAACACGGCTTCCGAATCTTCCCCAACGTCTTCTATTGGCTATAAACCAAAACGGGATTCTACTTATTGACCCAGTATCTTTGGTGAGTGGAGAATATTCCTGCTTCACTCCATATATTTATAGTGTACTTATTTGTTCGTACGATAAACCTCTGGCTGGAGAATAATATACTCTCGCAGTGAATCTCATTCTCACAGCCTAGACTATTCGTTTAGAATATGGGTCGCCGCCAAAGGAATAACAATCCTGATGGTGGTATCCTACTGAATAGCACGGTATTCTCGTCGCAATCCACCTTCATTGCGGCGTTTTCTAAACAGGCTGATCAAACCAACTTGCCCAACATATGTTTGGCGCCAGTCGTGTTGTTATTTTGGACCTTCAACGGGAGAATCCTTTATTTTGACCACCATGTTGCTTCCGTGTTAGACAATCTTAAGTTACCAAAGCTAGTTCACTTGAATCCACAACAGGACTGATGCCGCGGCTAGAAAAATTAATATGATCTGGCTCAAATAAACCTAGTCGGAGTGGAGCATTCTCTCAAAAGTCAACAGCGAGTACCTTGTTAGTTATGCAATAACTTTCTTTGACGTTGCATGCAGCTCTAAGTTTGGCATGCACCAAGCGCAGGTTTCGATCAGAGGCAAATAATTGTGCATGTCACGTACTAAAACGTTACTTTCATTGCCATTTATTACAGTCGCATGTATGATTTTCTAGGATGGTGTTGCTTACCGTGTCCATGAAAAAACTGGTTGATCGAAGCTGTAGTTTATTTGGGCTCTGTATATGTTATTTGATCAGGTTCACCCAATTGAATTGGCCACTATGGCCATAAACTGAGGGCTATCTCTTATGCATTTGGTGCAACAGATTTTGTTTCTGCTAAAGCGAATGCCAAAAATGTTTCTTATTGTGGCATTCGCCTACTACTTCACAGTCATAAGGTGATCGTTCACATGGACGATTTTCAGAGTATACCACGGCGATTGAACCTGGTCCACTATAGTGTATTTCTCCTCTTCCATTTGACTTGTAGCCACCGGTAGTTATTAGTAACTCCAAGTTGGCCATCACCTCTAAGGTGCATCTGTTAGCAAGTTATAATAAAAGAGAATTGGAGTAAGCAAAGTGGATCATTTGGAAGCACATGTATTATCATGTATTATCAAGCTGAACTGTATATACTTTAATATTTGCGAGAATTTTCAAAAGTGTTCGCAGACTTATAAGTCCCCTAACATAGTCACTGACATATAGAAGTCCAGCAAGCAATCAAAAATAATCATCGATTTCGAGTTCTTGACGTGGGTTTGAAGCTGTCATGCAGAAACGAAAGGTTAATGATTTGACCAGACTTCTCCCCAGGAATTCTGGATCCATGAGATGGTTTCATGCACTACCAGAATTTTCCCCATGGTTTGTATACCTTCAGAGCTGTCAATGTGACGGTCGGCGTCACAAAGCTTTTATTTTACTTTATAGCAGCTATTGCCACAAAGCATCCTGTTGACATTGAATAGCCAGATATTTTGCTCCTTGTGACAATGTAGCTTGTCAGTTTAGGGGGGTAGATATCATATCATCAGCGTGACTATGAGCTGCATTGTCCATTCCTCATTAGGGTCTTTATTGTCGCCTAGTTGAAATGAATCTAACGTGGAGCCCAGTTTGATGGAGCTACACTGTGCCAGGGGATAGAAAATGCATAAGAGTAAACGGTGCATTCTTGTGTAGGTGGATAATAAAAAACGTCTGTTTAGACGTACATTCAGATATAGGTTTCACCCTTCCAGTGCAGTTGGAAAGGAAGCCGGAGTAGTTCTGCTTGGGCTCCATTAGTGAATGCCTCTTACTAAGATGAGTTGGTCAGTAGCACTGATTAAGTGCGGAATACGAGAACGATACCAACGAAGCACACTTCTTGCAGCGCAGTAACCAGAAAAGGAATATCGGACTGTATCAGTGGGTTGACGGCCAACATGCACCAAAAATTACACAAGGTCGTTGATAGCAAAACATTTTAGAAAGATGTAAAACAATGTCAAGTTGACGAACTGAAGTACCATTGAATTTAACAGTAACGGTGCTCGACATAATTTGCAAATTCGACTGTGGCACATTACGTACAAGTGGTCTAGGTCATAATGAAGTAATTCGGCTGGTGAAGACTACGAAAAATACATTAGGCAATCAGGAAACCGGTATCCTTGATTAATTGCCCGTGAAATCCGGCTCTGAAAGACGCACAGTTCCGAGTTGTGCAGCACTCCAACACTTGGAGACGTGTACTCAATGTAGCACGAAATGCATCTTAAATGCAAGATGTTTTACTGTCACACTAGGGAGGATTCTTTAACTGATCAAGTTGATATATAGATCGATGTAATTATAACTTGGTCAACAGCGTCTTTCTGCTACTTTCTCACGGAATTCGGAAGATCGGAAGGATTGATTCATCTGTCACTGTACAGGGAGAGTATCTTGGGGATCAAACTGGATAGGCTGGATGTGCATGCCACTGATAAATTCGAAACTTCTATGACAAGCAAACGAAGTTAAAATGATGTGTGTTACTCAGAACTTTCACGCTCTTTTGGTCTATGATGAAAGTGGTCGGAATTCACAATAATAATAATAATAATCTGCTTGGACTATGTAAAAGTAACCAAGTGCATATCCGGTACTTTCTCAGCAACACTGACTAGGTTGTGTCACTAAAATATTCCACGGTATTCAGCGCACGCCGATTGGAAATGAAATTACCACAAAATCAGAGATAGTTTCAGCACGGAAATACTAATGTACTGCGTAAGCACGCAAGGTTTGTACTTAGCCAAACCATTATCGCACTAATTATATCGGTAAATTTACTCAAGCGAAATGCACTGAGTTTAGATTACGCCACTTCCAACGATTGGGTCCAAAACATACTTATGTATCGTCTCTCAGTGGGGAGTTTACACATTTACCGCATGAAACCCCAACTAGCGCTTACTTGTGAAAGACATCCATTGATACTTTTTATCCAACAGGATGTCATGATGCGGTTTACATTCAACGAACTTTCCAATTGGTCCTGGACTGACAGATCTGCCAGTTTGTCTTTTGGTAATCTAGTGAACAGTACCGTGCTACACTGCGAAACATATCAGGTATGTCATTGTATTAAGGTGACTACAATTTGTCTATCTGCAAAATCTGTTAAAGATGAGAAAAATCACATCTTATCAATTTGACAGTGTTTCCAAAATAAATCAATTAGTGTACTACCATGCAACTGTGGGATTGAGAATGTGCGAAATATTCGTGTTTTTATTATACTGACTAGTTGTCACCGAGCTTCCTGGGGCTGACGTTGGTATCTATGTGTGGTGGTTGTAAGAAAAGAAGAGGGAAGTTGGAAAAACAGCGGTGTATACCTGATTTCCTCCTAAAATGACCAAAACAATGTATTCGGGATGTCTACATTCTTATGAGTCTGAAGGCAATGTTGCTAAATGCTATTCTGACAATACCATTCAGTGACAGCTGAACGCGTCTAGATGGTCAGTCAACGATCGGGATGGTCTTTCTCGGGAAAGAACGAAAGCGCCACAGTTTAAACAAATGGCGTCAGTTGTTGGAGCACCGCCACACATATTGGCGGCCCACCCTCGTCGTGTTCCTCGACATCAAAGGTGCCTTCGATTCGGTTGATCGATGTGCCCTTTGGAATTGTTTACTCAGGAAAGGTGTGCCCGAGAAATATGTAAATATTATCCAAGCATTATATGCGCCTAGCACGGGCAGAGTGAGGGCTTACGGCAAGCTGTCGCCACCCTTTAATATCTCCGACGGTGTGAGACAAGGATGTGCGTCGTCACCTTTCCTCTTCAACTTCGCTATTGACGAAGTCATGGAGTTTACATTTACAGGACATGACTTGGTAGGTGTGGAGCTACACCCAGGAGAACGACTTCTTGACTTGGAGTATGCAGACGACATTGCCCTCATCTGTGACAGCTCCCAGACGTGCCAAGCCGCGCTGGACAGACTAGCACTGGCTGTCAGCCGCTTCGGGCTTTGCTTTGCACCATCGAAGTGCAAAGCTTTCCTCCAAGATTAGCAGGGATCACCTCCTGCGCTGATCCTTGGTGGGGATCAGCTAGAAGTCGTTCAGAAATTCAATTACCTGGGAAGTCGTATCAGCGCCCTTGGGATCGAAGAGGAGATCCTGAACGGTATAGCGAAAGCTTGGAGTGGTTTTGCTAACGTTCACCACCTATGGCGGCGGCGCGACATCACTCTTGCGCTGAAGGGTAGAGTGTACAGTGCAGCGGTACGTTCGACCTTACTGTACGGTTGCGAAACCTGGCCCCTAAGGTCGGCGGACATGAAGAGGCTAATTATTTTCGACCATCGGGGCCTTCGCAGTTTGGCTCACATTTGGTGGGAACACCGCGTGAGTAACGAACGTGTTCGACGCCTTGTTTACGGCCCAGGAAAAGGATCTGAACCGCTCAGCACCGTTGTTTCCCGTACCAGGCTCCGATGGCTGGGCCACGTGTTGCGCATGCCAGCCCACCGACTCCCGCAACGTGCGTTGTTTGCTCACCGAGGATGTGGGTGGAAGAAGAGGAGAGGTGGCCAAGCGATGACTTGGTCCAGAGGAATGAAGTCCATCCCTTCTGAGCTGGCCTCGGTTGGAGCTTCACGGCTCCCCGGTTGGGGTCCAAAAGACGAAGAACACGTTTGGCTGGATACACTTGCTGACATGGCAAGGAGCCGACCTCAGTGACGTTCGTGCTGTGAGTTTCTTTGTCCCTCTCCATCCCTTTTAGTCTCCCCCTCCATCTACGATCTCATTTCGTAGGGTAAAACATCATAAAATTTTGCTTTTTGTCTAGTAGCTGGCTGGTAGCTTACCGGAACGATGCCTATCCGTTGCTGGTAGCTCAACTGGCATGCAACTGTTGTATCTATTTTTCCTTTGTGTATTGTATTATATGTATGTATGTATGTATGTATGCGATATGTGATATGCGATATGTATGTGATATGCGTGAAGTGCGCATGACACGTGTACTGCGTGGAGCTGAGTGTGGCACTGATCACAAATTGGTTCGGACCAAACTGTACATATATTTTCGTAAATCGATGTATTGCACTCCCGCCGTGAATCGGC